CAGGTGGAGGAAATCCCGCTGGGAGTCCGACCAAACACGACTTAGAGCCCATTATCGGGCCTATTTCGTGGCAATACGGCTGGCGAAACGGCAATATTTCTCCAGCCGTATTGCTTCCTCAGAATACCATCCAACAGAGCTGTTTCGGGTGGTCCGGGATCTTCTTCAACTGGGAAATCTGGCGGAGATCCCGGACTGCTCATCAGCTCGCTGTGATGAGTTTGCCATTCATTTTGAGGGGAAATTGCTCACATTTGCAGTGGATTGGACTTCACAGTTACTGCAAAATCAGAGGATGTGTGTGCCGTGCTTAGGTCAAATATTAATGGATGAGTTTCAATTTTTGAGATCTGAGGATGTGGACAGGGTGCTGTCCGTTGTACCACCACTCCGCTCGACTCTTGCCCATCTTGGCTAAGTGGAAGATCTGCCACGGAAGATCTCCTGGGTCCATGAGGCCCTCTTTGAGAGAGGGAGTGGTCCCTACCACCTTGAAAAAGGTGGTAATTCAGTCACTCCTTAAAAAGCCTAATCTGGACCCAAGGCTGGTGGATAACTACCGACCAGTGGCAAACCTCCCTTATTTGGGCAAAGTGTTGGAGCCGGTTGTGGCTGGGCAACTCCAAGCGCTGCTGGATGAAATGGATTTTCTGGATCCATTTCAATCGGTTTCAGGCCGGGATTTGGTATCGAGACTGCCTTGGTTGCCCTGTACGATGACCTTTGCCGGGAGAGAGACAGGGGGAGTGTGACCCTGTTAATACTCCTGGAACTCTCGGCAGCTTTCGACACCATCAACCATGGTGTCCTTCTGGATAGGTTGGTGGGGTTAGGAGTTGGGGGCACTGCTTTACAGTGGTTCCGCTCCTTCCTGGCTGACCAGGTCGTGGTGCTGGGGGACAGTTGCTCTGTCCCATAGCGTTTATGTCATGGGGTTCCTCAGGGCTCAATACTGTCCCCCATGCTGTTTAACATCTACATGAAACCACTGGGAGAGGTCATCAGGTTCGGGCTGAGGAGTCATCAATATGCTGACGACACTCAGCTGTACCTCTCGTTTTCCACCAATCCAGGTGAGGCGTTTTTTGTGCTGAACTCGTGTCTGGACCTGATAATGGACTGGATGAGGGTTAACAAATTGAAACTCAATCCAAACAAGATGGAAGTGCTGTTAGTGGGTGCTTCGCCGGACAGGCTGGAGGGCCATTTCCCTGCCCTGAATGGGGTTACACTCCCCCTAAGTGACAGGGACCACAGCCTGGGGGTGCTCCTGGACCCCAGTCTAACTCTGAAAGCCCAGGTGGACTTGGTGGCCAGAGGCGCCTTCCTTCAGCTGCAGAAATTGTACCAGCTACGGCCCTACCTGGATGAGCGGAGTCTCATAACAGTTACACACGCATCAGTAATATCTTGTATAGATTATTGCAATGCGCTCTATGTGGGACTGCCTTTGAGGATGGTCTGGCGATTGCAACTGGTCCAGAATCGAGCTGCACAGCTGGTGAGTGGTGCGGCCGCCAGGGAACATATCAAGCCGATTCTGTATAAGGTACATTGGCTACCAGTTGCTGCCCGGGCTACATACATACATACATACATACATACATACATACATACATACATACATACATACATACATACATAAAGCAAGCAAGCAAGCAAGCAAGCAAGCAAGCAAGCAAGCAAGCAAGCAAGCAAGCAAGCAAGCAAGCAAGCAAGCAAGCAAGCAAGCAAGCAAGCAAGCAAGCAAGCAAGCAAGCAAGCAAGCAAGCAAGCAAGCAAGCAAGCAAGCAAGCAAGCAAGCAAGCAAGCAAGCAAGCAAGCAAGCAAGCAAGCAAGCAAGCAAGCAAGCAAGCAAGCAAGCAAGCAAGCAAGCAAGCAAGCAAGCAAGCAAGCAAGCAAGCAAGCAAGCAAGCAAGCAAGCAAGCAAGCAAGCAAGCAAGCAAGCAAGCAAGCAAGCAAGCAAGCAAGCAAGCAAGCAAGCAAGCAAGCAAGCAAGCAAGCAAGCAAGCAAGCAAGCAAGCAAGCAAGCAAGCAAGCAAGCAAGCAAGCAAGCAAGCAAGCAAGCAAGCAAGCAAGCAAGCAAGCAAGCAAGCAAGCAAGCAAGCAAGCAAGCAAGCAAGCAAGCAAGCAAGCAAGCAAGCAAGCAAGCAAGCAAGCAAGCAAGCAAGCAAGCAAGCAAGCAAGCAAGCAAGCAAGCAAGCAAGCAAGCAAGCAAGCAAGCAAGCAAGCAAGCAAGCAAGCAAGCAAGCAAGCAAGCAAGCAAGCAAGCAAGCAAGCAAGCAAGCAAGCAAGCAAGCAAGCAAGCAAGCAAGCAAGCAAGCAAGCAAGCAAGCAAGCAAGCAAGCAAGCAAGCAAGCAAGCAAGCAAGCAAGCAAGCAAGCAAGCAAGCAAGCAAGCAAGCAAGCAAGCAAGCAAGCAATAAAGGGACAATGAACATTGGCAGAAGCTGAGGACATGGCAGGGATATCCCCAGTGTCTGCACCTTATGAAGGACAGTGACTATGGGATGCTCAGGGATGACGCGACTCACTACCAAGAGTGTTTAAGAGTGATAGACTTTGGCCTCAAGGAAAGCTCCTCCTTCAAGAAAGTGACAGAAACTACTCCAGGCCATAGCTGTGATAGGCTCAACGTAAGTATTCATAGGAGGTGGGGTACACCTCCTATGAACCATGTACTGGATCTAGCTCCCTAATAAAGTTATTAGTGCCATGTTGTTAGTGAAAACAAGTGCCATGTGTTCATGTCCAACCCCACTGGACCCTTTGACACCCCTCTACTCATGGCAAGCTGGGTGTGGTGCGCACTGTTATATAAGTGACCTGTCTTTAACCAATAAATTAGATAAGCACACATATCAACTCAACCCCTCTTTAATGCTTTTTAAAGAACACTGAAGTAAAATAACTTAAAATTCAATAGACAAAAATGGTTTAGAATTCTCATGTAGTTTGTCAGCAGTTGGTATGTAGAAGCATTTTGTCTCTGAATCTGGATTTTGCGATCATGACCAAAAGCGCTGGATGCAGTTCTCTAACCTATCTTTAAAGACATGAATCAGTAGCTAGAGGCCTATCCAGGAGAGAAATTTGGAAGTGTTTTTTTTAAAAGAAGAATGAATAAAATGATATATTGAAGCCATCCAGACTTAGGCAGTGGTAGAATGATGCTCTGTGACCTATTGCACCACTCTGCCATTACAGTGGTGCCTCGAGTTACAAAATTAATCTAATCTGTATTGGTGGCCGTAACTCGAAATTTTCGTAAGCCGAACAACAACAACAACAACAACAACAACAAATTAAAGCATACAGAAAGCCCCATTGGAAGGCACTGGGGCTTTTAAAAAAACAACCAAAAATAAACAGAGCAAGCCCCAAAGGCTGCAAAAAACCACACCAAAAATAAACATCGAGCAATCCCCACTGGGACTACAAAAACAACACAGCACAGAAACATAACCCCCCTTAGCCAAAACCCACCCTGCAAAACCCACCCAGAAGTTTCTAAAAAGGAAAAAGCAGCACCTTACCAGGCAGACTGAAGCCTCCGATGGCACTCACTCCCCAGCAGGGAGTCTCCTACTACGCCGCCGCCGCCGGTCCCGTCCACGGAAGAGCTCCTCCCACCCCCACGCCTCAGCCCAGCGCCTTTGGCTGCCCTTACACCTTCTGTGGGCCTTATTCATGAGTAGACCTGCACCTTCCGTGAGCCTTACTCATGAGTAGACCCATGCCTTTGGCGGGCCCTACTCATGAGTAGATCTGCACCAGGGATGGGCAGGGAGCGCACTGGCTTCCTGCGCTCGCCAGAGCTGCCCCCGCCTCTCCTTCCTCCTCCTGCCCGGCAGGGGTAAAAAAGTTCCCTGACCCCCTGCTCTAACTGTTGGGGCAAAAGAGCGACAAAGCAGCAGCCTCTTCGCCACCAATGGTTTGAATTTCCCTACCCCTTTCCCCTGCCTTTTTCTGTGCTTAGGTCGAAGCTCCAACTGCAAGTCGAAGCAAAATTTTGCAGCTGGAGCTTTTCGTAACTCGAAATTTTCGTAGGTAGGGCCATTCGTAAGTCAAGGCATCACTGTACTCAGTTACGGATGGCTTCAGCATCTCATTATGTTCTTCCTTCTTAAGAACACGCTCTGACTGAAGAAGCAATTCCATATATTACTTAAATGCTCCATGGCTGGTTACTTGTCAAGTCTCTCGAGACAGGAAGTAAATGAGAGAATGACAGGCTGAAATACAAAACTAAAGCTACATCAACATTTTCATCTTCATTCCTTGTTACAGCAGAACATGAGAATTGGGACAACTGCTGACCTATTGATGCACCATTACCAGCTAGAAACTACTCCTCCCATATCAATCAAGTAAAGTACATTTCATTAGTCTAGTAAATACTGTACCGCTCAATTGCCTTCTTCCTATGTAATTAAACATAGCTGGTTTCCTTCTCCTTACTTATTTGTCCTTATCTTTCCTCTTGTTTATTGCAAATAAACTGTTTAATTGGGGAAAAAATTACCTGATGTCCCCCATGAGTTTCATAATCTCATCAGATTTTTCTTCACTGAAACATAATGTTAAAGTATCAGTTGAAATATACACATATATATGTTCTCAAAATACAAACAAATGGAAGAAAGAAAAAGGTGTTTTACCTGAAAATTTTTGCAGTGGTACTATAACTATTTTGTTTTTAAAAAAAGAAAGAAAGAAAATGAAATTTAGTGATGGTATCTCACTAAACGTTCCACAGAAATGTATGTAAATAATCTTACAGATTTTATAGCAACTAGCACAATGCAGGCACGTGGTATAATCAAGCAATATGAGACTCTATATTTAAAAGTGCTCCATTGATTTTTTTTAAAAAAACCACCCCTCCCAGATGCAATTTCTTCCAGCAAGTAAGCCCTAAATCACAATCAGATTAAAATATTTGCATATACACATGAGAAAGGTATTGCTCCACAGTGTAGCATCGGCTAAATGTGGACAAGGCAACAGATTTCTCCTCTGATAGTTCTAAGAAGAGTTTACAAAGACTCTGGTCTGGGGCCCTGGAGAGCTCTGCTGACATTCAGTGTAGACAGCACTGACCTAGATGGACCAAGGGTCTGGCCTAGTATGAGAAAGCTTCTCATGTCCCTTCATTCCTGCCTCTTCTATTTCTTGACAAACAAGGTAACTTATAAAACTGCTGTTCAAATACACCTGGAAGTAAGCCTGAGTAACTTAAATAGTGTGTTAAACCACTGGTTCTTAACCTTGGGTTACTCAGGGGTTTTGGATTGCAACTCCCAGAAGCCTTCACCACCAACTGTGCTGGCTGGGTTTTTGGGAATTGCAGTTCAAAAACATCCGAGTAACAAAGGTTAAGAACCACTGTGTTAAACAACCTACAAACCTGCATACACTGACCTCTGGAGTAATCCTATTTAATGTAACGGGGTTTACTTCTGAATAAACATGCATAAGACTATGTTTTAAAACATCACAAAAAACAAACAAGGTACAGTAACATCTGGAAGTTGAATCAATGCGATTGGACTTCTTTCTTGTTAAGTTGAAACGTTTCACTACTCATCCAAGTAGCTTCTTCAGCCTGAGGAGAGTTGGCAGGAGATCCCTGATATATCCTCCACATTAGTTTCACTTTCCCCTGGTATGAACAGGCTCTATTCTTGCACATATTTCAGAGCCTCCGCATCTCACTAAGTGATAAAGTCCTACTTTGCTCCTGGTTATAAGGCCAGAGAACTAGATACTCACTTCTTGGGCAATGCAGGTAATTTAGGGAGAAGAAGATTGGATTCATCCTCAGCATGATAAAACGATGTAAGAAAACTGAAATGAAAGACAAGTGCTTCGCTATGCTTCTGTTATTTCCAAAAAATATTTTACTTTATAGGAACAACAAAAAGTAATTCTGAAGAATTATCTACAACTTAATTGCTTAAATTTCCTTAAGACACAGCTTTATTTAAACAGTTCTTTTACAACAGGCAGCATTTTAGATAAGTTAAACAGAAACTGTAAGCAGTTCCGTCTCAACAGCAACTTAGGAAGTTGTTTAGCTTGCATATTGCAAACATACCATTCCACATTTTTGCCAAGCACAAATGCTTAGTTTTTAGTTCAGTTAAACACAGAATATGTTGGAGAACTGTGGAAAGGGCAGACCTGGGAAACTGGTGGAGAAAATGTAAAGATCACAAACAATGCATATGTTATAATTTGGTATTTGTATTATAACATGTAGTTCTTAATATTTAATATTATGTAACACATTTGTGGAGACAGGAGATAATATCTACTGAGTTAGTTAATGTACTCCTGTACTAAATTACAGAAACAGCACTTCACTTATTTTATAGGTGCAAAGTCAGATTCCCCGAAGCCTGTTATCTGCTCAGCTGGCTACTTGCCAGCCTTATAGTTAGAAAGAGGTTTGGTTTACTATCTTAGAAAGGCTAATGGAAACTTTTGTAAGATGCGATATTGAGCAGATACTAAAGTCAAGTAATTTGCAAACATAGCAAAGTGGACTGATGTTGAGAACTGATAAGAGGTATAAATAACTCTCAGGGAGTGTCTGCAACAGGAGGGGGTACATATACATATAATTGCCCTGATTAGGGCCTTGGCACTAATGGGGAATGGTATATAAATTTAAGTAATAAATTAAAAATATACTGGGGAGAGACTCTGCTGGAGGCTAAGAATGTATTCTGTAAATTATTTTTGGTTATGCTTTTGATTTGCCAAAATTAGTAATTCTATTCTATCTTACTGAGAGTCTCTAACCCAGTGGTTCTTAACCTTTGTTACTCGGATGTTTTTGAACTGCAACTCCCAGAAACCCCAGCCAGCACAGTTGGTGGTGAAGGCTTCTGGGAGTTGCAGTCCAAAACTCCTGAGTAAGCCAAGGTTAAGAACCAGTGCGGTCTAACCTGACCAGAAGGCTATGCCCAATTTTCTGGAACAGATCATAATCTGTTAAAATTAAGGCATGACTTTCCAGCAAGAAATTTCAAATGGACCCACTGTGAAGCTGCACCTGGAAAGTTGGGCTTCCCTGGGATAATTCACAGGAATCAGCAGACAAAGGGGAGGAAACCAGCTTGTTTCCAGCTTGTTAAGGTAGCTCCGCTCTGGCTGTCCACATTTGTAGGAGACATAGTTAGAGCAGAGCTACCTCCATAAGCTGGAAAACAAGGCTCATTGATAATTTCCAGGACAGTATGTCTTTAAAAGAAGCAGAACAGAGAGTGAGGGAGGAAGAAAACAAGCAGACCCAGTGACCAGATATGGGAAGGTGAAGATTCAAATGCAGCCAGTTTCCCCACTGCACTGCCTCTCACTGCTCCTGTAGCTGGTTGGAATGGCTTCAGATAGAACTGTTACAAATCTCTCCACACTGGCTCAAGTGATCACACTGTCTGAACCTATGCAAATGCATTTGCTTCCAAAAAAGTAGAATTCCCAGCAGCGGAGGAAAAAAACTACGAATCAAGGGCTAAAACTCCAGACTGGTTGGCACTGACTTGTGCATCACGTAGTCAATGGAAAACGATGCATCCTGGAGCAATGTCTGCATTATTTGTCACTCCCTTAGAATGTTTGGAAATAGTTTAAAAACACTTTCATAACAGTCAGAGCTGGTTCTTTTTTATTTTTTATTTTTTGCATTGGGTAGACTAACAAATGACACTTCAACCCCTCCTGCCAATTAAGATACAACATATCTAAAGCCATTCATGTTATGTTGGTATACAAGACAGAAAATCTTACAGACATCACTGACTCAGTAGCAACACTGAAATAACTAACAATTTGCTGCCTTTTCACAATAATGGAAATCTGCTGCCTGAGGTACCTGTTTCTCTTTGGCATCTCAGCATGTATAATCTGGCCATGGCACAATGATAGGTCATGCTGCTTTGTCTTATCACATCAGCTACCAGGTGAGAGGCCATCAGCCAATCTGCCTCATACATACCTACTTTCTTCTGTAACTTCCATCCAATGCATATATGTAATAGGAGCAACCACTGAGAAAGAATGCAAGCTTTCTGGTTTCTCTACATCACACAGGATCACTCTCTTGGTATCAGCAAGCCCAAAAGCCAAAACTATAGGAGTAAGGGTAAAACATTAAATATATAGCATGCCACAGACAATCACTTCAGTACATATAAACTGCAAAAAGCAACAGGTTACAAAGTTTTTTTAAAATTTTAATTTCAAAAGTTAAGAACAATCTGGGCTGCAAGCTAACACAGCCACCACTACAAACCTGTTTTCTATATGCTGAACTGAACTCTTTTTTTAAAGACTGGCAAACACCACTAATCCATCAGAATTATTGGATAACATGTTCCCTAAGAGCACATTTAATTCAACATCAAAAGGACATTACTTTTGCCATCTGGTCTCCATGCAAGAGTTGTCACTTCTTTCCCTGTGTTGTCACTTGGTGGAAGACTCCAGACACGTTGAAAGTTTGCAAGCCGATGAAGTAAAACCTAGAAAGATGTTCAGAAGAATGGGAGAAATGTTCAGATTTCATGTCTCCAAAAAAGAGTGTGTCTGAGTGTGAGTGCATTAGCCAGGGCTTTTGTTAAGCAGCCAACATCACAGAAACTCCACTGGCACAAACTCCTCTTCATGTGCTTCCCCCTTCACTGATGCTAATTATTTTTTAAAAAGTTTTTCACAATATATGTTATAACTGTCCCAGGATAGTTTTATAACTGTCCTCTATAGAGGAGAACATGCGAACCTCCAGATTTTACTGGACTACAGTCACCATCAACCCAGCCAGCATAGCCACTGGTGACAGCTGAAGGGAACTACATGGTCCTCAAACAAGTAAGCAATCAATTTTATTTATAAGATCAATATGGTACTCCTTCCTCTCTTAAGAATACCAAAACAAAACGTGGTTGGATACGATTCTGAGCATGTAATCCAACACATCACACATCTTATAAAATGTAGACATCATTAGTTCCTGTAGAGATTCATGTTTTTTTGGCATAGTTGAGTATGTCAAAGAGAAAGAAGGCAGAGGAAAGAGAAAGGAAGGAAGGGGATGGGAGAGATGGCTTTCCAAGGGAAGATTTCCACATTTTTCTTTCTACTCATGGGCAGCTGCCTGGATATAAGGTAAGACAGGTCTCATGTCATGGTGTATAACACTGAATACATTTTTCTACTGTCACTATTTATTAAAGAGACATGTGCCTAACCCTCAAAACAGATCTTCCTAGTGTGATGGCAACAGGAGTATGCCATATCTATTTTGTTTCACTTTTGCTACACATAATTCACTTAACACATTGGTCCCCATCTTGGATGTACACCTTAACAATGGTAAGGGTGTCTATGTCAGGAAAACTGAAAGCAATAGCAACACAACCAGGAGGCTATACTCTGCTATGACTCTAGAACTCAGAAGATGGTGCTGGTAGAATCCTGTTTGACACCCAGGCCACTAGCCTGTGGGGTCGCCCAGGGTTCATTCTGTCTCCTATGTTACTTAACATCTATGCAAAACCACCGCAAGAAGTCATCCAGAGTTTTGGGTCCAGTGTCATCAATATGCTGATGACACCTAACTTTATCCCTCCTTTCCATCTGATTCCAAGGAAGCTATTTTAAGTCTAGACCATTTTCTGTTGTCAGTAATGTACTGGATAAGGACAAACAAACTGAAACTTAGTCGCAGATAAGACAGCAAAAAAAATAGCATAATGAATGAATGAATGAATGAATGAATGAATGAATGAATGAATGAATGAATGAATGAGAGTTACAGTGAGTTGGAATGAACTTGATGGCACGTAACATAAAAAGTCATGATATCTACAAGGCACATGGAACCTAATTCAAATTAGTGTTTTAACTTTTCACATCTTCAACAGAATGGAAATAGTTACAGAAGGGGTAGCTGTGTTAGTCTGTGCAAGTGTTATAGATAAAAGCAAAATAAAAATAAAAAGTAAAAAAAGACAAAAACATGGTAACATCTTGAAGACTATCTTTTACATTTTTGTTAATGTGAGATTTCATGGACAAGTCCACTTCAACAGACATAAGAGTACGGAATTAGTATCTCTTAAAGTCTGTCTTCATCCATATATGCCAGTGTGATGACTTGCCCAGAGGGCCTTCTCTTATCATGAACCATGGTGTGGGTGAAAACAACTGTGCAATGTTCTTCCAAGAGAGATCTGCCTCTTCCCTTTACTGCTGGCTTTCTGTCACATAACCAGGATCTGGTTGTTTGACAGAGTATTCAGTGGGTGTAAGAAGATGGTCAATTAGTTGACATATTCTGGCTGATTTTATTTGGTTCTGCTCAACATAGTGGCCAGAATCCTGCTTGTTAGGCCTACCAGTGTAACCCCATTTGTGCAACTTTCAGGAGAGAATTGTTACCAGTTAAGAAACTGGCACTGGTTTTTCTTATCATACAGCAGTTGCCTGACTTGACATGCAGGCAGAACACAGAATTAACTTTTTAGCTGGTAGCAATTTGCTGCTAAAAGTTACCTTGAGGGACACTCTAGTGTCTTTATGTAGCAGGGTTCCAGTCACACATTTTTAATCTGTTTTAAGATGTTTGACAGAAATTTGTTAGCCACGTATTTTATGACTGAAGGAGTAAAACAAACATGCTTTATAAATAATTACCACTCTCACTAGATGAGTATTTTTTTTACATACTGATTAGCCGTTTTTCCAGACAAAGTCCATCAAAGGCAAAACATAACAAAAACATGAACAACGGAATCCTGTTCATTTATGTGACTGCACTTATCACAAACATTTTCCTAAGGTCAAACTCTCCTTCTCATGACCAGTCACATGCTGACTGTGGAATTAGATGCACAACCAACAGTGCAAAAGATAGCAAACTGCAGGAAGAAACAGCCGTGTGACTGCTCTTCCACAACTGGTGTTTCTTAATAGGACTTTGGCCAGCAATTATCTTATTAACACCTTATAGGTTTTTTATCAATCATACAGAAACAACAAAACTTTGAAATACAATTCATCTAGTGCAGAAACAGTTTTTAAAACCACAGTAAAAAAAGCAGCTTCTCTGATAAAAACACATCACTGTATTCAAGGATTTTAAAAAACACTAGCTATGGCAATTGGCTTATCACACAGTTTAAGTACTGCTTGTTACGCCTTCAGAGAGTGTTTTCAGAACTTCCAAGAGGGATTTCATTTGTAACCAAAGTGTACAAATAAAACCTAAAGTTTTCCAGCAGCCCATAGTAACAACATGCTACTATCTGTAACGATTTGTTCTTCCTTACCTCTCCAACTTTGTTTGCAAGAGCAATCAAATCCCTCTTCGGAGACCAGGCCATAAAAATTATTTCTTGAGGCAGTTGTTTCTCTCCAACCTGCCGGAAAGCAGGCATGATTGCAGATGTGGCAATGCCCTGAAGCCAAGGAGTGCAAATCAAGATGAAATTACATCCAATTTCTGACTTCTCAAACATTTCATATTTAGAAATCAGGCTACACGAGCACACATTAATCCAAACTAGCTATTATTGATCAGCATTCTAATAAAACTCATACAGATAAATACCATCCTTCAGGGCCCTCTTTTACTAACCCTTCTATATTCATTACTCAGTGAAACATGAAGTGATCTTGAACATGCAACCAGAATGATATTTTGACATACACCAGCTGCCTGGCAGATGCCACTGTCTGTCGGTCCTCATATTCCTGTTTCTTTCCCTCTAACAATTCATTCACAATTGTTCCCTCTTGGTTGCTTTTAGGGATAAGGTGAGAAAGGAGAGTAAGATTTTTAACAGACAGCAGAAGTATCTGAAAGAGCTCCTCCTACTGCATTTGTCTCCAAACTGAGGACAGAAAAGACTTAGGATTGTGTGTTGCATCTTGCTTGGTCCTAAGCACCAATTCAGCTCTTACTAAAAATAAATTTAGGTAAGAAGCATAATAGACAAAGTAGGGCCACATATATAGCACAGCAGGGATTCATTCTACGACATGCAAAAAAGAGTTACTAAACTCTACTCTGAAACCTGCACTTTCATTTACAAAGCAAAAAAACAAAACAAAAACCCTGTTCATACATTTGCCTGAATGTACTGTATATGGACTGAAGCTACAAAGAGGACAGGGCAGACGGGATAAAATATTCTCTTGATATCATGCAGTAAGGGGAGACAAGCTAGAGAAGTACTCTAATCATAGCAGACATGCTTAGTAGTCTCCCACACAGTCAGAAATCTGAGAGATAAAAGTTAGAAGCCTACTGATACTATGTCAGGCAAAAACGAAGGAAAAAGAAAAAATAGAGATGACAAAAACACTGTGGCACTTAAAAGACTAACTACTATATTTTAATGTGAGCTGTTTATGGACCAGTCCACTTCCTGACAACAAAGACTAAGTCCACAAAAGCTACATTAAAATACAGCAGTTGGTCGTTAAGGTGCCACAATGTTTTTGTCTTCATTTTTCTTTTGTCTTTGCCTGAAATACTGGCATAGACTAAACATGGCTACCTCTTCTATAATTACTGATATTAGATGCGCTTAAAACCAGTCATCGGGAGACACTTGTACTTTTAAGAGCAGCATGTCAGGTAGAAATTGAGTAGCTGGGGCTTTGTCAGTCCACAAAAGCTCGTGTCAAACAAGCATTGCTAGCCTCTAAGATGACACAATACCCTTCCTTCTTAATCACTATGAACAAACCTCCAGCTAAAGCCTAAAAGGTTGTTAACGACTTGGGGATGATTCTAGGTCCGTGCCATGCTAAAGACATGTGCAACAGCTGCGCTTTCTCAGAGCTCCCAGGCCAAGGGCTACCAGCTGAGCATCTGCTTATTTGGTGCATTACAGCTTCTGCTTCATGTCTGTCATTAAAAAGTTTCCAAAAAGCTGTCTTACATTTCCAGCTTCGTTCTTTCATTTTAAAAAAAAGAGGCCTCAACTCCAAACCTGGCATTTCTCAGCACTTCCTGGGGGTGGGTGGGGTGGCATATAATTGAAAGTCAGTGCCAGGAAAAGCAGCTCCTGATGAAGTTTTACCCAGCATGTGCCTAATAAAGAGGCAGATTCTGCTTATGAGGGGGAAAAGAGAACGACACGAAATCAAGCCAGATCTTTTTGCTCCGTCCCCTTCCGAGAGCGATATACAGAGTGAGAGAAAGAGAGAGAGAGAGAGAGTGATATACAGAGAGAGAGAGAGAGAGCGAGAGAACGCGCGCGCGCGTGTGTAGCATCTTTGTATGAGGCGGAAAGGCGCGCGTGTGTGTAGCATCTTTGTATGAGGCGGAAAGTCAAAACTCAGAGGGCCAAAACTCAGCAGGTGCAGCGTTGCCGCCTCCTCCAGGCTACGACAGCAGCCCCTGGTGAGATTCTGCCCTCGACTTATTTGCCTTTGAAAGGCACCCGGGCGACCCGCCCCTGGCCATCACCAGAGCCCACCCTTCACCGCTCCTCACTTAGCTGCCCCAGGTCTTCACTGGCCTCCGTTTTTACCAACACTCCTCCCCGGGACGCTTCGGGCATTGGCCAAGGGCTCGCCGCTAAAGGGACCAAGAGAGAAGCCCGGCTCCCCTCCGGAGAACCGGATCAACTCGACCCTCCCGCCCAATCCGCGGCGCTTCCTCCTCCGGCTTCGGGAAGCGGCGTCACTTCCTGTGGAGAGGCATTTCGTCGCGCCACCTAGTGGCCAGCGGGGAAAGGCGTTTTGTTAAGGGGAGGCCCGTAAATGGTAAAAAGCTGTAATGAATCCAAGGGTCTCAAAAGGTGCCCCGCACGACCTTTGGTTGAGAGGAAGTTTGCACTCGACCACGTTCAGATCTATGTCTCTTAGGGTAGGTTTAAAGACGGATGCCAGAGAAAGCAGAAAGTAAATCTAGCTGTTGTTTAACAATATTGGGGTAACTTACACATATTTTACTGAAATCTCCAGGCACATTGAATTTTTTAGTAAGTCTGCAAGGTTTTAAATTCTCCAGAACTTTTAGCAGGCTGGATGGCATTAAAAAAAAGATGGGGAAAGGGAAGGGACAGCAAAGATTTTGTCAGATGTTACAGCCATGAAGTTCACAGTTAATAGTTAATTAACAAATGGGTGCCATCAAGTCAATTTCTACTTCTGGTTCTCTACCCAGGGTTTTCCTGGTAGAGAGGAAATGGTACTTCTCCATTTTTAGAAACACTAAGGCTGGTTACAGTTCACAAATTTGCCTCTTACCTTAGGTGAAACTAAGTAACTTCTAAACTGTTTTTTGAAAAACACGATCCTTTTGTTGTTGTTACAAGTTACTGGTTGAAAATCTGTTCCATAATTTATACCACAAGCCTGTTGGTCATCAGTGGTGAGGTTATTTTGGAAATAAAACATTTCTGATTCCACAACACACACCGCAGCTTTTCATTGTGGGAAAGCTGTTAGGGACTGTGGAATGGGGAAGAGGTTGATTTTTAAAAATTGCTGCTGTTGTGGGTAAAATATAGGAACTTAAAGATTATCCTAGTCCTCCAAAAGCTTCCATATGACAAAAAAGAGATGCCACAGGAGCTTTGGCACCTTTACAAAGTCAACAGAGTCTGCGCCAGAAACCAGTGTGAGGAAAGATGGCAAGTCTTTAGCAGTACATAATGGGACTGGCAGCGATGGTGATGCTGGAGTTTACAAATATTAGAGGACTATCAGTTTTCAGTATGGTAATACTGTACTGGAGGACTTACTTGCTGCCACCATGACCCAGAAACCTTGTAAAACCATTTAATTATAAATGACAATAAGTTAAAATAAACTTGGAGGAGGCAAATCTCGGAGGTGATGCTAGACAGTCCTACCTCACACCCACTGCACTGGCAGATTACTAGATTGAACTGCTTGTTTGAATGGTTTTAAACTCTGATGTACATATGTCACACAGTCCTCAGTTGTCGCATAATGAAAATCCCAGAATGCAGGGAGGGCACAGCATGCCCTCCCTTCAGCACAACTGATAAGCAGAACCAGTGTGGTGGAGCAACCAAGAGTGCTGGTCTAAAATCTGAGAAATCTAGCTTGCAGCACTAGCCCTTACTGAACCATAAAATTCCATGGATGACCTTGAACCAGCCACTCTCTTAACCTGGACTACATCAAAGTTACTGTGAAATAAAGGGGGAAGACGCAGGACCAGGTATACCACTTTGAGCTCTTTGGAGGAAAGATGGGACGTAAATGGAAGAAACAGATAAATACTTTCACAGGCATGAAATTTGGACAATTGCCTCTAGAAAAAAATGCTATTTCTAGAAACACCCCCCCCTTTTGTTTTTGTTTTTGTTTTGCCCATAGATGAGTTTATCACTGGCCACTACACTCCAGCCCTGTGAAGATTTCAAGTATTCTCTTTTCAGACATTCATTATCCATGGATACTGGCCACACACTGATGTCTGGTAGGCAGAAACAGTTTACAGAGTTTCAACATCCAAAGATTATGGACACCTGAACAGGGTTAAAGTAACTTTCAACTCAAATATCAGGTTTTGTTGGCACAGAGTGGCCCTAGGACTAATTTACCACGATTATATAGTGGCAAAAACATAATAGAAATAAGCCAGTCAGCTGTCAGCCCTGTTAAAAGTTTCTAGGTATAGTCAGAATTGTAGGACGTGGTGGCGCTACAGGTTAAACCGCAGAAGCCTCTGTAGTTCAAGGTCAGAAGACCAGCAGTCATAAGATCGAATCCACGCGACGAAGTGAGCTCCCATCGCTTGTCCCAGCTCTTGCCAACCTAGCAGTTCGAAAGCATGTAAAAATGCAGGTAGATAAATAGGTACCACCTTGGTGGGAAGGTAACAGTGTTCTGTGTCTAGTCATGCTGGCCATGTGACCACAGAAACTGTATTTGGACAAATGCTGGCTCTATGGCTTGAAAACGGGGATGAGCATCATGCCCTAGAGTTGGACACGGCTGGACTAAATGTCAAAGGAAACCTTTACCTTTACCTATAGTCAGAATATGGACAGCTGAAATCTACAAGGCTGCTTCTACTCATGCCCCAGAAGTGGTCCATTTACACAAATGTTTGAGGTGTGCAAATGCAGGTAAACCACTCAAATAATCCACCTGATGAATGCAAGATCTGTAATCAGAGTCAACTGATCATCTACAGACCATATTCTGTTCTCATCCAGGAAGACCCACCTTACAAGACCTAGTTTAGGTTGGGTCTTTACCGACTGACTGTTTTTATTTACTGTATATACTCGAGTATAAGCCTAGTATTTCAGCAATTTTTTTGTGGAAAAAGCACCCCCTTGGCTTATACTTGTCAGTGTCAAAATTACATGTTCTCCTCTGCAGTGCGGGTGTTCTCCACACTCCCCCGCTCATCTACAGGCACCTGTAGCCTCTGTGGGTGAGGTTTAGTACACTGCATTTCTGCTTCCAGGACACTCCCGTCCTCCTCTTTCTGCATATTCTATGCACCCACCTTCCTCCTCCTGCCTTCCTCCTCCATCCTCTGTCTCCCTCCATCTTGTTACGCAGCAGTAGATAAGTGCAGCATCCGGTATGAGTCCTCCCCCCGCAGTCAGTGAAGTCTGTCTCACAGATCAGAAGGACCGTATCTTCAAAAACATTTAACCTACTGATACCTCAATTAATGTAATTTTATTGGTATCTATTTTTATTTTTGAAATTTACCAGTCGCTGCTGCATTTTCCACCCTCGGCTTATGCTCAAGTCAATGAGTTTTCCCAGCTTTTTGTGGTAAAATTGGGTGCCTTGGCTTATATTAGGGTTGGCTTATACTCAAGTATATACAATACTACTATACTCTTGAGTTCTTTTTGCCCAGCCAGCAAATCTGTAATACATTTTTAGGGATGCAGTTTTATCTCTTAACTAATGAAGAATAATGCTGAAAGCATTAAAAAGACAGTGGCTTTTTAATTTTTTTATATACAAAATATATTAACATTTATTCTGTTGCTTGAATTCTTAAGAGCACATCTGCAGAACACTAAATTAACAGTAAACTGTGGGATTCAGTGAGTTTCTCTATTTCTTGCTTTTTCTTCGTTTTGTAGTTCTCATCTTCTTTGTGCCTGTTATCTTTTTAACACTCACTTTTACCTTCTTCTTTGGCCTTGCCTTTTTGCCATCTCTGCAAAACAAGACAAGTTACTGAATTTTCTAATTTAGAAAACTGGATGGATGAAATTTTATTATATAACTGAGAGAGCCTGAAACCTCTAAAATTTTTCAAAATCTCACACTACTGTTCTGAAACTTAGTAGCTCATTTTAAAAGGCACTTGGCAAGGGCAGTCTTCGAACAACAGAATTGTTCTGGTCAAACAACAAAAAAGATCCTTTATTCTCCCATGTCTTTTTACACGGGATTTGTGGAACATATTTGAATAACTTCCACCTTTGTGCATTGTAGGATTATATATTTAATGTACATTATCATCAGGACCCAGATATATAGATTTTCACAAAATAGATCTTGAGAATTTACTGCACTGTGTACATACTTGTAATTAATCATCAATTAATTAATCATCAAATAAGTGGCTCAGAAGCACAGACAGCATTATTTTTGCTGGAAAAGTGGGATAAAGATTTAAGAAATAAATAATTTAGTACATATTAAACAGCCTGAACAATTTATGCAGAACAGATATACAGTATAACTTCCCGCTTTAAACTTTACCTTAAAATGCTGCATATCCACAAATCTACTTCTACAGTTCACTGTAGTATTTATGATACTTATTCACACTAAAAAGTATATGCAGTTTTCACTTTCTTGGACACAATATACTGAGTAGTCATGGCTTCCCAATTCCATTACTCTATTTGGGAAATCTGGCCCCTCTGTTTTTCATGGGGAAAACTGCTAGACGGCACGTTCTGAAAGATAACCCAACAAATGCATTCACATGACAAACTTACCGGTCACCTTTCCCAGCTACTTGCCGATTAGTACAGGTTGTACGTTTATGGTCGGCAGCCCCACAAATAAAACATCCAACATCAGCATTCATACAAGAATGAGTTGGCAGAGCACAGCTGTCACAAACACTGCAATGAATCCAAGCTGCAAAATAAAGGAATAATTTAAAGTTCTGAAATGGATAAAAATGAAAGTGTGTAGCAAGAGCATTTCAAACCTTAGAGCTGCTTTCTCCAATTGGAGGTGTAGTCCAATATGTTTAGAGGGCACCTGGTTGAAAAAGGCCACTCAAAACAAATCACTTTAAAACACATTTTGGAAACAATGTTTCAGGAGTGGGCTCTGCAGCAAAATATTGCAGTATATCCCTAACACTTAAGCACAATGATTCTCAGCAGGCCTCTAATTAGCCTGAAAACAGAGGACAACAAAGATTACAAGTATCCGAGTTCTTCCATGACACAGAAAACATCTCTTCATTTCTATCACAGTCTTTCATACATGTGTCCTTTTCTTTTTGAGATTTGTAACCTGCAATTTTTCACATCAGCACCTGTGTTAGAATATTGGGAAAAGCAAAGCAGAAAAAGTGAAGGGGAAATGAAAGAGAAAAATGCTAAATATTGTGGTGTTTTAAAGATTAATTTCACTGTGTGAGCTTTCATGGACCATAGTTCACTCCTGAAGACTGAAAAAGCAGACTTTGGTCCATGAGAGTTTACACTAACATAAATCTTTAAACTGCTACAATATTTGGCCTTTTTCCCTTTTCTCTTTTGCCTTTCATTTTGCCAACAAGTTTTAAATATTGTTTTAAATGTGCTACTCATTGTCCTTGTTGCTTCTACTTGAAGACCAACTCATTTGTTAAGCATCACATTTTGTTATTTTAAAAGATTATTTTTAAACTACAGTAAAAAAAAATGAGGCCTTAGAAATAGAAGAGAAGAGAAGGGAAACAAAATACAAGGAAGATAGGGACAGAAAATTAAATGCAGACTTCCAAAGAATAGCAAAGAGTGACAAGAGGGCCTTCTTAATTGAACAGTGTAAAGACATAGAGAAAAATAATAGAAAATGAAAAACCAGAGATCTGTTCAAGAATATTGGAGATATTAAAGGAACATTTTGTGCAAATATGGACATGATGAAGGACAAAAATGGTAGGGACCTCACAGAAGCAGAAGACATCAAGAAGAGGTGGCAAGAATACACAAAGGAATTATACCAGAAAGATGTGGATGTTAAAGCTGCTTATAAAAGGTTGGGAATTTGGTAGAAGATTTATAGGGGTTATAGATCAATTATATTCAGACAATACTTCAGAAGTAATAGTTTAACAGAGCGGATTTTTCTAGGCCAAGGTACAAGACAAGTCTGTCCACTTTCACCAATGTTGTTTTTTTTATGGTTATAGACCTGTTCGCTAATGCAATAAGAAATAATGGATTAATTAAAGGATTAGGTAAAAATGATACAATTAAGATTAATTTATTTGCTGATGATTCATTATTGACCATTAAAACACCATTAGAAAGTATGGATAGAATTAAAAATCATTTAGAAAAATTTGGGGAAATCACAGGACTAACTATTAACTGTCATTATTTGCAAAGTGTTCCTTCCATATTCTCCTTATATAAGTGGGTTTTACTGGCTGGGTACAGAAACACAGAAACATTAATACTAGTTTGAGTTTTATCTCTCCCAACTTGCAAAGTGAACGCTGAAAATGTGATTTAAAATACTTACAAGGTTTTACACATTTTTTGCAAAGATAGCAGTGCCTCCATTGTCTCCCATCCTGTTAGAAATACAATGTTTACTTTTATTTGTATTTTTGTATGTATATATTTATTTAAAGCAAGTGTCATTACTTCTTTAGTTTTTATTCTAATTACTCCCTGCTTTTAATCTAATCTCCCATGTCTTTTCACTTAAATTATTGTAACCTCTCTTAGAGTTACTTACTGATTGGAGAGGGAAAATGTGTGCACATTTAAAATAAGCATGTTTTTACCCTCTTCAGTCATAGAGAAAATGCTGGGTTACGGCACATGGCATAACAAGGACAAAAAGGCCTCTTCTTTCTTGGGCATGTAGACCTATCTGTAAAGCCTCACTTCCAATGCTGCTAGATTCCAATGCTGTGGATTCACAAACGATATGGATTCCTACCAACAGCTGAGAGATTGCTTTTCTTTATCTTTTGCAACAACCAGATATACCAGATGTTGCTACAGCTATAGCAATAATATTATCTAATACTGAAGAAATACACAGCCTATAATTATAATTCCCATTGTTTTTAATGAGGCTTAATCTCAAAATCAGCATAGGACTGTAACTCTAACTTGCTCTCTGAAGTTATCTGACTCCCACCCACCCCGTCCTGAAATTCAAAGTTATTAATGTGGAATCAAATTTAAGGTCTAATTCAATGGTTCCTAATTTTGGGTCCCCAGATGTTATTGGACTAAACTCCCAGAAGCCTTCACATTAGCTGTGCTGGCCAGGACTTCTGTGAGCTGTAGTCCAAGAAGACTTGGGGACCCAAGGTTGGGAACCATTGGTATAGCTCTTGCTAATGTCTTCCTGAACACAAACAAGACATACATACTTACTTTGGATGGGCATGAATTGCAGATGTTGCAATGCTTATTTTCAAAACTGACATATCGCTGGCAGACAGAGCAAAACCTGTCAAGGAATCCATTTAAAATTAATTGTCTACTTAATTGTGCATTGTTAAAACTGAATAAAGTGATAACTAATTAAACCACATCACTGCTTTTGTAAATATATTAATTAATAACAAAAACATTTTAAAAATAAAACTTAATTTTACTCAGGTGATCAAAATCTTACCTATATCCTTCTTCCACAGGAAGCACTATCAAATGTGGTGAAAGGTTGGTAAAAATACGAACTGGGGACTGTTTACGACCAGTCTTCCCATGCTTATACAGTGCATGATTGTGATAGTCCACCTAGAAAGGAAAGGGAGTGTCAGGGAGGGGAGACATGAGGTCTTTATAAGTCAGGTTTTTATAGAATCATGAAGTTGGAAGTGGCCTGTAAGGCCATCCAGTCCAACACCCTGCTCAATACAGGACTCCAAATCAAAGTATATCTAACAGATGGCTCTTTAATTTTCTCTTCAATGCCTGCATCGTTGTAACACTCACCCCTCACCCGAGGTAATTAGTTCCACTGTTGTACTGCTCTAACAGTTACGATTTTTTTTTCTGATATTCAATTGAACTCTGGCTTCCTGTAACTGAATCTGTTATTATGTGTCATGTACTCTGGAATGACTACTTTTCAAATATTTGAAGAGTGTTATCATGTCACCCCTCAGTCTTCTTTTCTCAAGGCTAAACATGCCCAATTATTTCAGTCTTTCCCCATAAAGCTTCATTTCCGGTCTCCTAATCATCCTTGTTGCCCTTCTGAGAACTTGTTCCCATTGTGTGCATCCTTCTTAAAGTGTAGTGTCCAGAACTTGACACAGTACTCAAGATGAGGCCTAACCAATTCCAAATAGAGGGAAACTAGTACTTCACAGGACCCGAAGACTATATTGCTGTTAATGCAGCCTACAGCAGCATTTGCGTGTGCACGCGCACAGTCTCTCTCTCTCTCACACACACACAAACACATCTGTGGAATGAGCAGTCCTCCAGGGATGCCCTCCAACAAGCAGCTGCTGTCAGAACAGAAAGCTCCCAGTGGGCATATTCAACTTCTATTGCCAGTACTGTATAAAATAAATTTGTATTCTTGAAAGCTTTCATGGCCAGACTCCAGTCCTCTAAAGATGCCGGCCATAGAGACTGGCAAAACGTTAGGAAGAAAAACCTCAAGAACACGTCCAAACAGCCTGGAAAACCCACAACAGCCATAAAATAAATTATGGAAGATTATCAATATCATGAAAAAGTGTGCTGTACGCTGACACTTATATTTGACTTTTCTTCAAACAGATATGAAAAACATTTTGGGGAAATCTGAGAATAACGGCCCTCAGATTGTCCTCAAAAAAGGAGGATTGCCAGAGTATGTGTGTGAGACAGAGAGATTCAGAAAATTATTTAACAAAGCAGATTAATGTTTAACAAGAAATCTTCAAAGCAAGCATTAAATTAATTAAGGAGAGAGTGTTCCACTAATGTTCATGGCATTGCAATGAACATCTCGAACACAGAGGCACCAACGTTTACAACAAACTTCATTCATTTTTTCTACTTCATAATACCCAGCAATTATCTTTGCCCATACCTGATAATCCAACATTGTGAAGGATGGAAAAAACTCAAGAATGCGTGATTCAAAGAAGTATGGAAATATCCAAAGCATGGGTAAGTCTTTGCTGACAGCATCTAGCACACAAAAGAAATATTCTTTTAAAAGGAACAAATAATAAAAATCACTGGTAGCACAATACACCAGTGCATGTTGATTTTCTAAATAGTTTTGTCACAGTCATTCCTCTTTGGTTTTCAGGTAATTGTCAAATGCAGTGGCTTCTAACCTTTTCCGAACTGCTGGGTGGGCGGGGCACCAGTGTGTGCATGTGAGTGGGTGGGGCGTGCACGAGAGTGGGCAGGGCGTGGGAGTGGGCACCCATGGGAGTGGGCGGGGCACCCATGCACGCTTGCGTGGGGGCCATGCCTGCATCTGTGGCATATGTGGGTGGGAGATCTGTCTCTGTGGCCTGGTCCTGCCAAGGCCACGGCCTGGAACCGGGCTGCAGACTGGGGGTTGAGGACCCCCGGGTCAAATGCATTAGCTAAAGGTGTACTGGGGCATGTTGTAGTGAATGCCTGCAGTTTATTACAAATATTGCCTTCACTGTTGTTCATACTGTACTCAAGGTATGCACTTGAAATATCTTGTAATTCATTGAAACCATTGAACTAAATCAATTCACTGAAAACATTCAACTAAATCTGATGTTTTGCTAGTGGATGGACACCAGTACAACAAAACTTTCTCTCCCTCACTGTAGCTCAAAAACCAACCATGGAGGGTTCTCCCAGCCTGCTGATCAGTTTGGAGCCTGCATGGGGAGATTGCACTGGCTGAAAGGAACTGTTCTTCCCAATTCCTATGCAATCTTCCATTCTACCAGTAGATGTCTACTCTTGGATCCTGGTCGCTGCTGCTTTCTACTTCTCCATCTGAAATATCTTAAAGCACCTGGAATTGGAGGACAGTCACCAAAATTGCCACCATTTCCTAAAATCATATAATCACTCCGCCACAGGGAAAATGGTTACCTGTGCTTCCTGTTTGCCTCCACATGGCAATAAGCTTTTTAAAGCTAAAAGCGAGAGCTTCAACCAAGCCTCCAAATGGTGGATCAGCCACCATTATGACACCTTCACCTTTGTCTTGCTGCAAGAATTTCTGACACACTTCATAAGCTGCCTGGAAGACATCAGTGAAGTTCCATTTCAAACCTTTGTGGCATTCAAACTGCTATTTTAGGCATATGTGGCACAGTGTGAGAACACTGCCTTCTTTCTTTTTATAATAAGCCCTATCACAATATACTTTTAGAAACTTCATCAGGTTCAGAAGCAGCTGTCTATGTGGTACATGGGGCTGCTGTTCAAGAACCACAAATGCAGTGTCCATATGTCCTACTTTGCAAAGGAATGTTCTCTATTTGCAGGATTCTCAACCCAAATCTGACTGAAAAACAAAGAACGATACTGTATGTGATTTGGTATATTTATGGCACTTTTGCTCAGCCACTTTGAGAAGTGGAGGGGAAAAAATCTGGAGTATAACGCAAGCCTTTTAGAATTCCCACAAGAAGGCAGCCACACAAAGTCCCACAGTTTTTCTAACCATAAGCTGTTATTTCAAAATGACCAAACTTCTGCTGCTTAGAACAGTATTCCACAACATGCCACCCATGCCACAACATGACTCAACAGAACTTGTGGAGAAGTTGACTCACCAAATCCCCATTGAGTCAATGGGTCTACTCTAGGCTGATTTACTGCCCTCAGCAACAAGGTTTTAGCCATTATGTTTTATGAGTGGCATGCTCCAAAATAATAAGTTTTTCAAATAACCTTGAGGGCTCTTACCTCTCCAGCAAAGAAATAATGGTTAAACATGTTATAGTGGCAGAATTCCTCTTCTGTATAGAACTGAGAATACCTACAAAACAATAATTTCCATTACATTCAAAACATACAAAATCTGCTATCAAGTGCCGGCTCATTAAGGTGTGCTGCATATATACTGTCCCACAGTGCTTAAAGCTCTCTCTGGGTGATTTACTATTTAAGTATGCAAGGCTACACATTCCTCTGCCCCCTAGCGAGCTGGGTACTCAATTCACCAACCTAGAGATGGCTACCTGAACCTGGAATCAAACTCAGGTCATGAGCAGAGTCTTCACTGCAGTGCTGCAGTTTAACCACTGCACCACAAGGCTCCATTAGTTCAAGTCACCAAGTTAAGTTTTATTTTACCTATTACCAGAGTTAGAAAATGTTCCTTTTTTGGACTATAACATCCATAATTCCCATGATGACTCAGCATTCTAGAAGTTGTAGTTTAAAACAGGAAAATTTCCAAATTGTGCCTGACAACTACTTTTCCTCACCGCAACTACCATGGTCCCATAGTCCAGGGGTCCCCAAACCCCAGTCCGCAGCCCGGTGACGGTCTGTGGGCTTCCTTGAACTGGGCCGCAGACACGGATCTCCGCACCCCTGCACGCATGCATGATGGGCGTGTTGCGCTTGCGGGTGGGCATGTCGTGTTTGCGGGCATGCGCACAAGCACTACACTCCCCTCCACAAGTGCGACACGCCCAACCGTGAGCATGACACACCCACCTGCAAGTGCGGGGGATGCTCCCAGCCCCCACGCACAGAGGCTGCACCTCCCAACCAGTCCGTGGCCCGAAAAAGGTTGGGGACCGCTGCCATAGCCAACATAGGGAGCAAACTAGGAAATGAATTGGCTTCTGTTCAGAAGACAGCAAATTGTAAATGAGGAGATATCAAACTCTGAATAAAAGCCTACCTGAAATCAATATCTAACAAAAGGCTCTTAATGCAGACCTTCTGCTTGTGTGATGTTTGGAGTTTGATCAGTTCATGAAGCCTAAAAATTAACATAAAATCATGAAGCTAACTAAATCTACAACATACATTGGATACACAATATACAACATTGCACAAGAACCAGTAAAGATACAGTATGTTCTGTACAGAAATTTTTTTGCCGGACTATAGCCTCTAGCCCCAGTATCCAAAACATGCAATACCATTCTTTGCAACCAACACAGAAAGCACTTTTCTATGTTGAGGTGGTATCTGTGGCAAATCCCTCATGAACCAGGCAGTCTCTGAAGCTCTCAAGAAAAAGGTTCTGAACAAGAAACTTCCCACTTCTAGACACAGGAACAAACTACTTTCTCTGAAGTCTACAGCAGAAACCTGTGCACTAATATGGAAAGTGAAATTGTCCAGCAGCAGTTTCCCTCTCAATGCTGTCACAGGCTAAACATAAAGGCACTGTCACTCACTCAGAGGCATATTTAGTTTACCACACTGTTTGAAATAAACAATCTGAATATCTGAAATTCTACATCTGCACAAGGAAGGAGCAAAAAGTAGAGCAAGTCTGGTGGAAAGGACAGAACAGCATAACCCAGTGGTTCTCTTCTTATGCTGTTGTGCAATTAATTTGGCAGGCCCTGGACATAGCAACATCGTTCAGCTAACACCAGCACATATGAGTATATGAGGTAGCCTTCTATTCAGGCCATTTATTCTACTTTTGCCTTTGATTATTTGCAGCACTGCTCTAAGGCGTATCTGTGATCTTTCTGCATGCAAAATAAATAAGTAGCCACTCAAACACCCTTCTAATCTTACTTATTGTTTGTATCTTGGTAGCTTGATTCCTTACTAAGAGATGCAAAGATAGGCTTGCTAACATGTAAAACTATGCAACATAGTACAGAACTCCCCTTACCAGACCAAGAATGCTATACTGGTAGTTCCCAATTTTCAATTTCCAGGTGTCGTTGCAGTACCATGTATACACAAACCCTGATCACTGATCATACTATCTAGGGCATCTGACATCTATCATACAACATCTGGGCAAATTTTTGAGAATAAACTAGATTTAGCCTAAATTTTTCCTGCTCACAACCACTTTCTTGGGATTTTACAAAATAAGTCTAGTGCTATTTATGCAGATGACAGACCATCAATCCTTTTTTGCCCAGGGTTGGGAAACATGTGGTCTTCCAGATGCTGCTGGACAACAATTCCCATCAATCTTACCCAGCATAGCCAATAGTGAACAAACACTAAAGCTACAGATCAAAAACATCAGATTGAAGCAATACTAGGTGCTTTGAGCCTTTTACAGCTGAAATCCCAGAGATGCCAATTATATGTGTTCAAGAGAGTGTCCAGGAGGAAATGCACTCTATGTCTTACCTCGGGGTGCCAACACAAAGCACCCTTTTAAATCCATGTGCAACAATTAGGTCCAGTAAGAACTGGCAACTTCTGTCAGTAAAGAGATACTGTGCATTTGTCTTTTTGTTCTCCAGAGGGCTGAGAAAGCTGGTGGGTCTTGTTAGCTGGGCCACGGAGACATCACTGAGTAACTGATGTCCAGAGTGGCTTTTCCATTCTGGTGGCAACAGCAGCTGTTGGCATTCTTTACAAAACTTCCTTTTTGACAGCGGCAAGGTGACAAACTCTTTGAACCTTATATTAGGAAACAAAATTAGAAAATAGGCATAGCTATTCAAAAGGAATCTGTAAACTTTATCTTTTGTTATACATGTCCTGCCTCTTAGGGTGTTTGTCTCCAACCATCTATACTGTCAGTTCTTTGGGCAAGAACTGGTCTTTTCCTTGTTACAGTGCAAGCACTCCACAAAGAAGAGGAACTCCCCCATTTCACTTGTATACATTCCATTCAGAAGTAGTTTATTTCACAGGCCAACGGATGTACAAGCTTAATGTTTCCATTTCAATTAAGGGGACCAAAAAAAGCTGAACTTTGGCTAGACTGTACTCTAAAACAGCAGACATTGCACTACGATCAGAGATGGGAAACCTGTCTGAGAGAAGCCTACATCAGAAATTCCCCATGCTCTGAATATATGAAGATGGTGGATCAGAAGGACATGATAGTTTTATCCAACCCCTCTTAGAAAATGAGTGAGTACTATAATAGATTGAAAGCCAGCTGCATTCTAATCTCCAAAACTCTTACCTGTTACGATTGTTTATTAAATTAATTTCATTTTATGTTTGCATTAAATTACATATTAAATTAATTATAAGAAAGTGAAGATTCAACTTCACAGCCACATATAGTTAAAATAATCTAAATCACAGTTTATTAAAGCACAGACAGGGGAATGTTTCCATGCAGTTATACATGAAGCTGGGCAACCTAACAAGTTGATATTGAAAGCTAAATTATTTGCTGATCTTGGATTGACAAAGGAATTACTGGAATAATTTTGAAGATTCCAATTTAGCTGATGTGAACTTCTTTCAGGACTCCTCTAGATAGAGTAGATGTGGGATGCACTTTTGACTGAATCCAATATGTATCTTTTGTTTCCACTGAATGGGAAAGTGTGAGTCAATCAATCCCGTGTGGTTACTCACTACAGCAGAAGTTAAGTTCCAATTCCAAATTTACCAATTTAGTCCCAAAGATCCACAGAACTGCAGCTCCAATGTTCCAATGTTTTGCAGTTTAGTCCTGCACAGTGCTTTTCAAAATTCAGTGTAAACTGTGGTGTCAAAACCGACATTCTGATACTTACATGAATAAGACAGGGAATTAGAACTAAGTTGTAATCTAAGTACATCTATGCACGTATATGTTACCTCTGCATTATGTTGTAGGCATATGCTTAATCACAAGTGCAGAGCTTTTTTTTACTACAGCCCCTAGAATTTCCATGCTGATTGGTGGAGTGGCATTCTGGGAGCTGTAGTCCTCCAAAACAGCTTTTTCAAGCCCCTCACAGGTTTAAACTGAAAATAGACAATATGTGAGTTGTCCCAGTGTCAATCACCTCTTCTGGTCCCATTCACCAAACTATGCTAATGGATTTATACTACAAAATGTATCAAAAAGGTGGCAAACACTGGCAGTTACTAATAATTCCTAAGGTCTTTGGAAGCCCCATAGAAAATATTACAGTTGGCTGTCATGGGACATTTATATAGCCAATAGAGGAAGCAACTTCTGAACTTAAATTGCTCCTCACTCCCCTACCCATGGGATCATGGATGATTTGAAAAATTAGCATCTTCAAATTTTGGCTCAGTCCTTAATTTCTAGTCAACAGTCTAATGTTGACATTGTAATTAAAGAAGTTCAATAGTCATTCTTTATGGACACTCAAATATCACAAAATAATCAAGCTATACATTTTGAAAAATAAAGGAATGCCAAACAAACATAGACAGACACAGTACCTTTCTATGTTGTCTCTGTGAGAGAAAGCTGGTTGGTGACTTTGGTTGTACTTTTCCCTTGCTGAAAGTCTGGCTTCTGATACCTGATAAACACAAATGTTACAAACATATCTATAAAAGAATAAAACAACTGATATGTTTTCAAGGATTCAGCCAAGCCACACTTCAAATTTTCTTTTCATAATTTATGTCTCAGCAAGAGAAGAAAAATCCATGTTTGGCTTCTTATTAGTCTTCATTCCAAATTAAAGATTAGGATTATTTTCCTCTTGTAATCAAGATAGTAAAGGATCAATGTTTGATTTTTAAAAGCTGCAACCAAAAGGCAGTTCTGTACAATTTATTTTTTGTACTTTCATTTTACCTCCTTTTTCTCTTTCATTTCTTCTCTGCTGAACCCCTTCCTGACAATGCAACAGGTTGCTCAAAAAGTAAATGATTTATGGGCCTTGCTAAACTCTGCATTAACCAGATGCTAATGTCTTAAGTCCAAGTATGGGCTGCCCTCACAGCTCTCTGGGGTTGCCTCGGGGAAGAGGGGGAAAGCCTCTTTCCTCCACTAGTTCAAGCACTCCACGAAGGTGGGCGAGACAGTGGGTGCCACAACACGGGCAATGGAGAGGGTCACCTATCCTTTGAGTGTCATAGTCAACAGGCAGGGATGATGGAAGCTGTCATCTAACATGGTTGCAAACAATGGATGGGGCTGCAGATCTCCTACCCACAGTCGTTTTAGGGGAGGTAAAGATTTGATTCAACAGTCCCTTAGCTCAAGGGAAGTGGTCATGTGACATACAAGATTAAATATTTTGAGGTCAGCTGATTTTAAGGGAAGAAATTTAAGTATATGCTTAATTCTCCAGTTGAAATAAATGCAACTAAAAGTGCTTGCCTTTGTGTTGATCATGCCCTTGAGGGTTATTAGATTAACAATGTTGTTAAAACTATTATCCTTATACTATACCTTTTCATGTTCCCACTGAAAGAAATTACAGTCTTTCCTTTCTCTACAGGCAGAACACGCATAAAATCTTCTTTCCTCTTCTTTTCCTTGAACAAGCTTTGCGAACAGAAGAGTAGGACCTAAAAATAAAAAGTTTAAGTATTTTATGTTATAGAAACTTGCACAGTTTGCTGTAATAGTCAACAAAGATTTTTTTTTTCAAGGAGAGTGGGGTGTTAGTCTGTTGGAGCAAAAACACCAAAGACCGGAATCCTATTGGTGCTTGCATCTAACCTGCTGCAATTAATTGCAGCTAATGGATGAGACCCTGGGATGAATCTCAGTTATACAATAAGGTACATATCCATGCCTGCAACCAATACACTCACCAGCACCTTATTAATTACTGGCAGCAAATTATGCAAACACCAATAGGATTATGGCCTTCTGGTATCTTGAAAATGCCTCAGAAGAAGAGAACTACACTCCGTGTTACAAAAGGATGAAAGCTTTAGTTTAAAGTACTTTAGAATTCTTTCTGACACACGAGAGCACATTTTGCGCTTTCAGTGAGGGAAAGACTCCATCAGTCTTCATCGATCATCCACCTCAGTTATAACCCCTGACGTCCCCTGCCCTTTCCTCTTCCCCGGGCCTGCCTCCAACGTCTTGTGGCTAGAAAGAGAGACAAAAAACCCAAATTCCTGAACTCTCCGGGTCTCCCTTCCCCTTCCCTTCCCCCCCCCGGGGTCCCCTTCGCATCGCCTCAGCCACCCCGACGCTACAACTCTATCAACTCCCCTTCAAGGACGGATGATTCGCCACGAGATTTTCCGTCTTTAATTTAAAAATGTATCTTAACTGTTATTTTTAACCGATGTTCCTGTTTTTTTTTTTTTTTTTACTGAAGTCAATGAAAGAGGGAATGAACGCGAATACGCAAAAACAAACAAACAAACGAAAAGGCAGAACTGGGCGGCGGCGGCGGGGGGGGGAAGGAAGGAAGGAAGGACGGGGAAGAAAAGGATAACCGGGCGCCCACCCGTGCCCGGCCGAGCTCACCATGAGGGCAGTGGGGAGGGGGCGTGAAAGGCTCCTCTCGGTCAAGGACCACCGCGACTCCGGTACGCGGGCTTTGGGCCATCCTTCGGAAGGAGAGCCGCGCCGACCTCGCTGCCCCCCCCCCCAAAAAAAAGGGTTCCCTCCGAGAGAGTTCGCACCTCCGCGATGCCAGTCGAAGGTGCTGGGCGGCCGATCCACAACAAATCACACACACAGAGAGACAGCAAGAAATTACGGGAAGCTACTTAGAATTTCTCTCTCTCTCTGAGATTTCACACACGCGCCGTATTGTAGGTCTTTTCAAATAGAAACCGGAAGGGAGCCTTCTCTTGTACCTCTTCTTCTTCTATCTCTACGTTTTATTCTCAGCCTCCTTCTCCACCGCGAGAGGTTAACAAACCATAGAGATCTGAACAGCCCTCCCCGCAACTTCCTCTTTATGAGTCCGGCCTTCGTACCACGGATGGTGTCAGCAATCCGGCAATGAGTTGCTTCTAGAGCAGGTCCATTGAATCAGGAGGTTCGGCGGGTCAGTTCTTCTGTAGGTTCCACTGATACAATAGTTCTACTCCACTTGCAGCTTACTTACCACTAGATTTCAGCCCATGTGAAAGGGAGGTAGGTTCCTTGCCCAACTGCGGGGGCACAGTCATTGTGGAAACTGCATCAGAAGCATTATGGCTGTATAGCTGAGATAACAGGTATTAATTTAAAGAAAAAAATTAGTAAGAAATGTTATTGAAAAGTTTAGACCATGCAGTCTTACAGATTTTATTAAAAAATCGATAGAGGCAATAAAATTTGACATGACAGTAATCTGATGAATGTGGTGGTTTGCATTCTAAACCCTAAATATGTATTCTCGAAGGCTTTCACAGCTGGGATCTGATGGTGGTTGTGGGTTTTTCGGGCTCTTTGGCCGTGTTCTGAAGGTTGTTCTTCCTAACGTTTCGCCAGCCTCTGAAGATGCCGGCCACAGAGACTGGCGAAACATCAGGAAGAACCACCTACAGAGCATGGCCAAGAAGCCCGAAAACCCCACAACAACCATTATTTTATTTTATTTAAAATATTTTAATCCTGCCTTTCTCCTTAAAAAGAACCCAGTATAGCAGTGATCCCCAACCTTGGGCCTCCAGATGTTCTTGGACTACAACAACCTTCAGAACATGGCCAAAGAGCCCGAAAAACCCACAACCACCATCTAAATATTATACTTTAAAGCTTGCATAGTATATCAGGTTAATTCTGTATACCTAAAAGTGTTAAAAGTTAATGTCTTCAGAATCAGTACAATTTTTAAGAAACAACATGGTTAGCATGAGAGCCTGAATGGGAAAGGTAACCTTGTTTCCTTTAGAAAATTACTGTAATGTAAATTGAAGTTTTCCTAAACAATATATTTTACTACAGATTGTTTGAAAAATTGGTCTGCTTCCCACTTAGAACTGCCTTTTAAAAATTACTTTTCCTCCCTTTAATGTTACAATTGTATGCTAGTATGTCTAGTGTAAAATAAAAGCAAAAAGGAGATCTGTGCAGTAAGTGGTTTACATTTATGCAAACCTCCCATTCATATAGGACAGCGATGGCGAACCTATGGCACTTGTGCCAGAGCTGGCACGTAGAGCCCTTTCTGGCAGCACGCGAGGCATAAGTCACCAGATTGCTACTCTGCCCCCCCCTCGCAGCCAAACCTGAGAAGGCGGCTGCAGCTGCGGTGCTGGTGCTTCAGCAGGCAGGCAGATCCGGAGCAGCTGGTGCTAGCAGCAGATCCAGAGTGGGGTTTTGAGGCACCTCTGCGCTGGGATTCTCCCGCCGCCACTTACGGTTCCGCCACCACTTCCAGTTCCACTGCCGCTGTGGCACACCGCCTGTTCTTTTTTTTTCCCCCAGTTTGAGCACGCAAGCCCAAAAAAGGTTCACCACCACTGATATAGGGAGTGTGATGAGACCTGATCTGCTTTCTCATGTCTGGTCCATACCCAAAGATATTACTAACCTGGCAGGTCTTGAGACTGGATAAAATTATGAAAAACTGGACCAAAACTGGTTGTTTCCATAATGATTTATGCACTCCACTTACTTGTTTAAATAATTTTGTATTAAATGCAAGGAGAATTGTAAAATTTGCTGAAAGGTTAGTTTGAAACCAAGCAAGGTGCTACAAAATCATTATACTTGCCAGTTTCATTTGAGCCATGTTCATGCCCCAGACTTCAAGCATACATTTCCTCCTCCTCCAAGTTCCTCTACTTATGAGTTTCAGTATAATGGTATCATGGAATAAAATTGTGAACAATTGCTGCTTCTTTGGATAGAATAGCTGAGAAAGAAAAAAAATATTTTCTCCTCTTCCAAACATCCCATGATTTCTTGGGATACTGACAACAAAGATTGGAAGTGGTTTTGGTCTCTTGTGCATTCTAGTATAATGACTATACAATGAAAATATCCAGTGTAGTGCAGAAGTACAGGTTCAGACTTGCAAGAGGGGGGTCCTCTTTCCAATCTCCGTTCAACTGTAAAGTTCATTGGCTAACCTTATGCCACTTATCTACAGTCTTATTTCACAAGACTGTTGCAAGCTACCCCAACCTCTGCGAGAATAGGGATTTTAATCAAATAAACTATCAAGAAAACACCTGTGGCAAAAAGATCAGTCCATTCTTTTTATTGTTCTACAAGAGTGAAGTGTAATGATAATTATACATTCCTTAAAGCTTACTTGAATTGATAACTGAAACCATGATGAATTCATGAACATGATATGTTTGTCTTCTAAACCTAGAGTAAATTTTACGTTTTAAGGCATAGACATTTTAGTGTATCAAGTGAACTGTTGCAACATTGTTTTACCATGACTCCTTCAAATCAATAAAAAATACACGGGCAATTCACGTGTATTGCTCAGAAGCTTAAGATACAGCATTGCTAGAATCAATAACATACATAGGTTTCCTGTAAGCAATTTTGCTACTACTTACTTATGGTCCTCATAGTGTAACACTGAATTTAGAGCTGGTTATTATTAATTTCTATGTGTCCATAAAATTATCCTGCAATTTATACTCCACATATATTAAGGCTATCAAAACAGCTTGGAATTGATGATGAGCACTGCAATGACAAAATAGTCAGGAATTCAAAAAGCAAATTGCAGTCTTATGCTTCAGAGTAGTTTGAATGGCATGGGGAGAGTAGCAAACCCAGCAGCCTGGGAAGAAGGATCAAATGAACAGTAATTGAAGGTTTGCAGTTGGGTACAATATTCATGAATTGGTCATAACAGTGGTTAAATGCTATATAGTAGTGAGATGAAATTGCAGAAGACATTGTAGAATAACTATGAAAATAATTTTATCAATCATCCTTGCAAATGAGCTGCAAGATTCAAGAGCAAAATACTTTATAGCAAATAAATGCATACAACAATAAAAGCTAAACTGTATGTGGATTGTAAGCAAGGGTACCCTAACCCTGAATATGATCTATATGTAACATTAACAGAAACAAGACTTCACAGAGATTTTTAATCAGTAACTAGAGGGGCATTTAACATACTTTTACTTTCTTTATAAGGACATTTATAAATATGAAAAGGGGCCTCTTGGCTAGCTCAGTCACTGGAGAAAAAACAGAAAAGCCAGTACCTCAAACTGATTGGTTCTCTCAGGCTTTGCATGTGCTGTCTACACATGGATGAGTGCATGCATGAGCATCCCCAAATTTATGTCTAGCCCCAAGGATTAGCCTGGGACCCACTAATATATGTATGAGAATATACACATACCCATTGGACCCCCTCATCTATTCCTTTTACAGCAGGGACAGCACCTCTGCATACAATGCATATATAGGCTACACATCATATATCATATTTTAAGTGCTGGTAAAACAGATTACAATTGGCCTTAATATCTACATACTAGCAAACCTTTGGTGCAAGGCTCAGGTGTGAACCACATTACAGAGATTGCATCCAGTGCAGATAGGAAACGAACCCTATGAAAGTTTTTTTAATGGATTTGTGGCACGGTCACATGGCTTATCCAACCACACTTTTAAAAGAGGTCTCAGCCAGTTGCAAATGAACCAGCATATTGCTACAGTATATATTTTTGATTGGTCCTACTTGAGAACTACCATGCTTAGGAGTGGCAAAACTGGAGATCAAAACATAGCTAATAAATGCATAAAACACATACAAAAACTAAGCTGTGTCTGCATTCTAACTAAGGATACCCTAATCCTAAAGTAGTCTTGACTACTTTATTGTGACATATAAACTAGGAACTCCAGCTTGCCACGATTTAATGACTTTGTACTGTCTGGGAATAGACGAAACAGGGTTCATACGTCACAAACAAATCACTGTCAGAAGGTCCCTGGTTCACTTTAATCATCTCAACTTACAGTGGGCATGAACGGGAAGCATGCACCAGCATCTACTATATAAATTTAATCTATCATCACATATCCTTTTATTTTCTAAAAGTATAATGACACTGATCTCACTAAGATGATCAAGAGACATTTTTTCACATTCAAGTACACAAATCAGTAATAATCCATGTAGCAACAAAGTAATTGTTAAGGTGGAATTTCAAGTAGCTTTCTTACAATGGAGGAATGAAAAGGTTGTGCTTCATTTCAAACAAAGTTAAACTATGGTTTCTTACATTTGTATACAACAAAACAGTTCTTTCCTACAATGTAATCAAAAGTCATCTTTGGCATCTGTAAACTTTTTTCCCTTTTAATGTTAAATACAGAAAATTAAGCTTTCTATAAAAATACAGTATAGGACACACTTCTCATTTCCCTGATGTAAAATTTCACAATTTAAACAAACTGTAAACTTATTACATTCAAAATATATAACTTAAGTTCTGAGGTTTTGGCAGTACAGCACTGTGTACAACAGAATTACATTATTCTGGTATCTTTACACAGCAGTAAATCTTGCTACATTGAAGACATTTACTTTTTTCTACCAGTAGGAAAAAAAAGGCTTTCGACTATGAAAAGTCTGAGTAAAAGCATTGTTCAGGTGAACAATTCGTCCTTGACTTCCCCCGTGACTTCTCTCCACAATCACACGAGGCATCTGAACAAGCTGAAGAGGACTTTTCTCATCCTTCAATGCCTGCGCAAGATTAAGTATCTGCAAACATCAAAATCGGTATCATTAGAATTTCAGGACCTTTAGTGAGGACTCCTAAAATAAAAGTTTGCTCCAATTCAGAATGAACACTATATGGAAGCAGGCTTACACAATCAGATCCTCTTCCATATTAACCTACACTGCTACCAACCATTTGTGTACGTGGAAACCAAACCTGTCATATAGCCAGTTGGAGCTGAGAGGATGGTGACCTTTGCTAGATCTGCAAGATTGTCAGCACACTCACCAATTTATTTCAGGAGGCTCTGTAGGGTTGTCAGCAGACAACCGACCCATTTCAGGATATTTAGGAATGTGATTGGTTAGACACTGCCAGTTTACTTTTACCTCTATACAATGCATTATAATTCTGTAGTCCCAGAAAAGTGTGTAGTCCTGTGCAGCCTTATTTTACCTCAAGACCAATTCTCTGCAGTTATAAAATAATGAACCATTTAAAAAAACATAGTGGTAACAGAAACCATACTTACTTGTCCTCTCATCACAGACATTTGATTTTCAAATGTAGCCTTGTCAAAACCTTTGTCAGTCTTTAGTAAAAGAGAAAGAAATTCATTTAAGACAGATTCATAATCCAAGTCCTACACAAGACCAACATACTTTTAACCACAAATTTGATTGTATGCCTGTCATATTAAACCACAAAAAAGGAGAAAAGTTCCAATTAACTTGCTTGCTAGTGTTTCATTCTGATAGGTACAACTAACTCTAGGTACAACTACCCTCAGAAGAGTAAAGTTTTACATTTTCTGCTCTGGGTAATAAAAGCTATATTAAACAATTCTGTCCAATTTTGGAAATTACCTGAAACAGTTCATGAAGATCTTCACAAAGATCCTGTACAAAGTTCATGTCAGAAATTCGGGGAAGAACCAAATCTACTGTTTCTTGAGAGAAAGGGACTTTTGCTTGTGGAAGCCAAGCCCAGTGGAATGGATCTAGCAGGGCACAGGGGGAAAAAAAATGAGGGAATGAAAAAACATTTTTCAAATTTTACACTGTTTACTACTTTCATGGATAGCATTTCAGATATAGGCAGTCTTGCTTACATTTGCTAATAAGTAACTGTCCATCATGTTGATAGCATATCTTGCAACTAGAAAAAATTGTATTTATGGTTGTGTTACACTATTGCCAATTAGATAACTAAAATCAGCATACAAATAAAGAAAACAAACCATAAATTAGAGATAATCTTCAAAAGCCTATGTAAATCATGAAAGCTTTGACTTTCCATGAATTTACACAATGGGATGTGCAGTTATCACAAATGTGTCATCCATTTCACTACAAGAGGCATTAAAGAGCTGGCATCCCCAGTAGTACTCAGCACCCAAGAAGGTTTACCTCAGAGATAACACTATTTGACATTTTCCATCATATATGACCGAAATGTGTAACTACCATGAACCACACCATACAAGACTTTTTTCTTTAGAAAGGGAAGCTAATATACATGGAAAGCCATTGATTCAAGCAGCTAAAAAGAGCCTTGTGGCACAGTGGTTAAACCGCTGTACTGCAGCCAAAACTGTGCTCACGACCTGGGGTTCAATCCCAGGTAGCTGGCTCAAGGTTGACTCAGCCTTCTATCCTTCCAAGGAAGGTAAAATGAGTACCCAGCTCGCTGGGGGGGGGCAATGTGTAGCCTGCATAATTAACTTATAAACTACCCAGAGAGTGCTTGAAGGGCTATGGGGTGGTATAACAATACATAATTAACATTTTAAAAAACTCACAAGCTCTCCACTCATCAGGATGCTTGAAAGGAAAAGCTAGACCATTATCAATTGCTGCAATTTTAATAATAGGCTCTTTTTCATTAGTCCATTGGATATCCTGTTGAAAAAAATACAGAAAGTCAGAGTGCAGCACAAACTATTTGGCCACTGACAACATTTGAGAGTCTCATTTTACAATCCAAAGACGAGAGGAGAGGTATTACCTCAAAACTCTTATGCTATGCTGTTAAGACATTTCCTACCACACTCTGTTTGGGGTGAAAAGTGCATGAGGAAAAGATCTAAATTGCACAACAAAAGATTCAGTTTGATCCTCATTGAGAAAAAAGGCTCTCATGAATTTAATGTTTGCAAATATATGCAAGCACACTATTTATTTAAAATATTTTTACCCTGCCTTTCTCCTTTAAAAGGACAATATGGCTTACATCAGGGGTCTCAAACTCAATTTACCTGGGGGACACTGGAGGCAGAGTCTGGGTGAGGCTGGGCCGCATCAGGTTTCCCACAAGAAAAGCTTTGTTAAAAAAAATTCCAATCTTCTCAAATCTCTTTATTTTTATTTTTTAACACAAAATAAGATGAAAAAATAAACAAATTAAGAATTTATAAGAAAATAAATAAATCAGTAGTAGTAGTAGTAGTAGTAGTAGTAGTAGTAGTAGTAGTAGTAGTAATAATAATAATAATAATAATAATAATAATAATAATAATAATAATAATAATAATAATTCTCTAGTGAGCAACTATATGTGATTTCTTCAGTCTTCTATATCTGCTGTATTCAGATTCAAATGTCTATATTAACAGTTCTTTAACCTTTAATCTTCTTCTAAATATGAATTGTCCTGAACATGAATGGAACATTGAAGAACATGAACTGTTCTTCTGAACATGGCTTCTCTTGCCTACTCCTTGCTGCTAGAGACCTGGCAGCGCTTCCTCTTGCATAGCCGAGCCACATTTGGCTTGAGGCTCTGTGCGTCTTGAAGTCTGCAAATCTGTGATCAAATTCCTCCTGTTAAGCTTGTCTGTTTTTCCACTCACCTACCTGAACTTCGCTTTGAGTTCAGAGTTGCACTGCAGATCAGAGAGCTCCATTTGAAGCACAGGAAGGGCATTTTGTACATCAAAGGAGAAGTGGTCCACAAAAATTTGAAATGTGGCTCTGTGCATCTTGAAGTCTGCAAATCTGTGATCAAATTCCTCCTGTAGCTTCAAAATGACATCAACATACTTCTCACCACTGAATGGCGTGCCTGCATCCACATGTGCCTTGCATGCTGGGAAATGGCAAACTTGTCAGAGAGCTGGGTTTTCCATAACACAAGTTTTGTGGAGAATGCTCTTACATAGTCATAGGCAGCACTAACAAGTTGCCCCTAGCCTTGTAACTTCTTGTTCAGTACATTAAGCTCATGTGTGATATTAACAAGAAAAGCTAAGTCCATGAGCCATTTGGGATCACTTAGCACAGGAAGAGCCACTTCATCCTTCTCCATGAAGGCTTTCACTTCTGCTCTCAACTCAAAAAATCTCTTCAATACATTTCCCCTGCTTAGCCAACGTACCTCGGTGAAGTAGAGCACATCCCCATATTATTTCCTCTAAAACAGCTCGGAATCTTTGGTACTTTAAGTCCCTGGATCTGATTTGGTTGATGCATTTCACAATGACAGACATCACATTGTCGAACTTCAGGCATTTGCTGCAAAGGGCCTGCTATTGGATAATGCAGTGCAGAGCAATGGCTTCCTCCACACCCTCCTCTTCCAGGTTTTTTTTTTTTTTTTTTTTTTTTTTGGTACAAGTGCCACCAGTCCATTTTACCTCCCTATCATTGATGGCGCTCCATTGATTGTTATCCAACAAACCTCTTCCATGGCAAACTGGCTTTCTCAATGACACCACACAGCTTGTGAAATATCTCCTGAGCGGTGGTCTGGCCTTGCATTGGAATTACTGTGAGTAACTCTTCTATCACTTCAAAATTGTCACCAACACCACAGACATACATTGCAAGCTGGGCAGCATCGATGGTTTCTGTGGTCTCATCAAGAGCAACTGAGTATACACTGAAACATTTGGCTTTCTCACACAGTTGGTCATAAATGTCACTTGACAGGTCAGAAATGCGCTCTGCCGCAGTGTTGGCAAAAAGGTTGCTGTTGCTAAACAGACCTTTCTTTTCAGGACAGAGTATACTTGCAGCCTGTAATATGCACTTTTTGACAAATTCGCCTTCTGTGACTGGCTTTCATGCTTTAGCAATCATCTCACTAACCACGTAGCTAGCTTCGACTGCTGCATTATTCCCTTTGGTTCCTTTCGTGAAGAAATCTTGTTGCCTCAGTAGACATGTTTTAAGAATTGGCAACCCATTTGGCTCTCTCATCTCCCTGGTATTTTGCATACTCCTCAACATGTCTAGTTGTTTAATGACATTTCAAATCGTATTCCTTGTGCACCGCAACTTTCTCTGTGCAAAGAAGACACGTCTGGGTGCCTCTGTGTTCAACAAAGAAATACTGCATTCCCCATTTTTCCTGAAATTGTCTGTGCTCATCACCAACCTTTCTCTTCACTGCAGGCTTTGAAAAAGACATGTTTGGGGCTGTGTAATTCCACTTGGTGTCACTGTTGCATTGAAGTTTCAATCAAGTGTTTAGCCAATGCACGGCGAACGTCTCAATGCATGGAGAACATCATTTCCATTTCTTTTTCTTGTAACCGCAACAAGGTGGTCAGTGGATAAAAACCCAGTAGCAGTCTCCTTTGTTTTTACGCTCGATGTTCATGTCTTTCATAATGACATGAACACCATGGCATTTGTAGGTGGCAGAAAGTACAGTCACCCACAACTTATGAACGTCCCTAGATATGAACTTTTCAATTTACGAACGTCTCCGTTGGCAAAAATTGGCATCGACTTGCGAACGGAGCTCGACCTACGAATGAGGTCAAGGCTCCGTTTGCAAGTCAATGCCATTTTTGTGAACAGAGCCGTTTGTAAATGGCATCCTGCAAAAGGGCAGGGAGAAAGGACTGGAAATTCGAATTTCCCACCATTTCTTCCTGCCTTTTTGGCTTCGGAGCTCTCAAAGGGCTTTCCCCCCTGCCTTTTTGCCTTTTGAAATGCTGGAACGGATTAATTCCGTTCCCATGCATTTCAATGGGAAATGGTACTTCGACTTACAAACTTTTCAATGTACAAACATTGTTCCAAAATGGATTAAGTTCATAAGTCGAGGCACCACTGTACTGGGATAGTGAGCGTAAAAAGGGCAACTGCTCACGGACTGTTATCTGCTGTGCTGTTGTTACAGGAAGAGTCGGAAATGACACTGTGCTATTGTTGATGGCATATGTTTTGACTACGTTTACATCATATAGAAATATATACAGTGGTGCCTCGCATAACGATGTTAATTGGTTCCAGAAAAAAAAACCGTTATGTGAAAACATCGTTATGTGAAGCACCATTTCCCATAGGAATGCATTGAAAACCGGTTAATCCATTCCAATTGGAACGGATTATCCGGTTTTTTCCCTCCCCCCCGCAGCTTGGATCTGACCCATGGCGGCTACCTCAGCCATGGCTGGATTCCCTAGAGTCCG